ATTGCTTCTACCTCCTGGCTATTAACAATGCTGCAGCCAACATGGATGCACACATATCTCTTCAAGATCCTGTTTTCATTTCTTTGCTCATTGTTCTGTCTTTGACTTGTACAATACACATTAACTTAATTTCTCTAACTTTAGACTATTTGTTGATATCAAGTAGGTAAAGTGTGCTTCCACTCTTCTTTTTTAGATATTTTAGATATTCTCACATTTTCTTGTATTTTTTTAAGATGGATTTTGGTATCATTTTGTCAAATTAAAAGTGCATCTCAGCACTTCTATATTTTAATAAAGCACAAGTTTGACATTTGTATAGATGCTGAATGTTACTTAGAGACAAGTATTTCATTTCATATTAATAATACAGAATTTTTCACAGATGCAGTCAAGGCTCGGTGAGGCCTTCTGTGGTTTGTGCAAACATGTTTTTATTACAGAATTGGACCTAAAAGCTTACAGTTTAAAAGCATGTTCAATTTTTAAAAATTGTATGATCACTTTTTATTATAAAGAGGCTTGCGTTTTATAGGCTGTTTCCAGTAGAAGATGATTTCTGCATGCTTATTATAACTATCTCTCTGTGCCGCATAGCCTTCTCTAAGTACTTCAAACTCAACATGTCCCCTAAACCTGTTCCTCTTCTCATTTATTTGGTCAAGAAATATTTATTGAGCATCTGCTAAGAAAAGCCCTGGCTATAATCAAGAGAATGGAGTCTAGGCTGCCTAGGTTTGAATCTGGGTTCTGCCATGAATTTGTTGGGTCACCTTGTGCAGTTTAGTTAACAATCTGTGCCTTAGTTTTCTTGTCTATAAAATTAAGATGATAGAATACTGCGTCATAAGTCGTTGTGAGGATGAAATGACTTACTATATGTAAAACACATAGAATAGTGCCTGGCCTGTGGTAACTGTCTGATAGTTTTGTTAATATTGTTTATTGACCTGGCTGATGTTAGCATGCTGAAGTAAAATAAGACAGTTTACGGTCCTTGGCTTTTTGAAGGCATCCTAATAGGAGGGAAAGACAAAATTCAAGTAAATAGATAAGAGGAATTGGTAAATAATAAGTGCTTTAAGGAAACCAGCTGACATTAAGAAAAATGTGGGGGAATCCATTTGGGAGCTATTGTACTATTCCAGTTGAGTAATGATAACTTGGGATGGCAATGGAACTGGAAAGAAATGGATGCATTTGAAATATGCCCTGGGAATAATTAGGAATAAATAGATTTAATTTGATGGCTAAAGAAGAGGGAAAAATCAAGAGTGAACCCAAATTGCTGGTTTGAGTAACTTGCATGGTTGTACTATTACTGACAGTTTGGGCAGGGAGCAAACAACTTTGGTAGAGAAATGAGACTTTGATTTCGGACATTTAGGCTAGAAATGTCTGTGAGATGTCCAAAATGTCAGGTAGGTAATTAAATATAGGAATCTGAAACCAAGAAATTCAAAATCGTACTTCTGGACTCTTTGTGGTGGTAGACTTCTAAAAGTTTGTGCCTGCCCTCACATCTGTTCCCCTAAATCTGACAAAGTAATCTTTGTAAACTAATGACCTGATTAAAGTCTAGGAAAGTCCCCCGATTTCTTACAGGATAAAGCCCAGACTTTTTTTTCCACATGGCATATGAGAACCTCCCTGACCTGACCTGTTATTACTTCTTTACCACTTGTCACAAGCATCATAGTTTTTAGCTATACTAAACTGCTTAGAATTTTCTGAAACTTTGTGTTTTTGCAATACGGCATCTTCTTTTCTAGAATATCCTTATCTTGATTGTCCATCTGCGAACCCTTGCTCTTCTTTCAAGTTTCAATTTAAGAGTTGCATCAGTATTAATTTAATATAGGGGCACCTGAGTAGCTCGGTTGGTTAGGCATCAGAAACTCTTGATTTTGGGGGTCCCTGGGTGGCGCAGCGGTTTAGTGCCTGCCTTTGGCTCAGGGAGCGATCCTGGAGACCCGGGATCGAATCCCACGTCGGGCTCCTGGTGCATGGAGCCTGCTTCTCTCTCTGCCTCTCTCTCTCTCTCTGTGACTATCATAAATAAATAAATTAAAAAAAAAAAAAAGAAACTCTTGATTTTGGCTCGGGTCATAATCTCTGGATCCTAGGATTGAGCCCTGCATTTGGCTCTGCAGTCAGTGTGGAATCTGCTGGGAGTTCTATCTTGCTCCCCTTCCACCCCTCCCCCAGTTCTCTTTCTCTCTCAAATAAATCTTTTATTTTTTATTTTTATTTAAAATTTTTTTTATTTATTTGAATAATTCGAGAGAGAGAACACAAATGGGTAGGGAGAGGAAAAGGGAAAGGGAGGAGACTTCCTGTTGAGCAGGGACCCCCCCTACACACACACACACACACACACACACACACACACACACACACACGGAGCTTGATCTCAAGACCCTGGGATTACAACCTGAGCTGGAGGCAGATGCTCAACTGACTGAGCCATCCAGTTACCCCTCAAATAAATCTTTAAAAAATTATATAATTTAAGTTTTCTTATATATCAGCATTTTTTTCTCATAAGTGAACCCTTCTTTGATTGCTTGCTACCTTACACAGAGCAAACACTTCCATTATTATGTGGTTTTCATATATATGCTTTCATAGCACTATTATATTGTGCTGCAGTTATTTGTTTAGAACTCTTATTTCTGTCCTAGATTGGGCAAAGATGTGAAGCTACAATGGCACAAATTCATCTTTGTATACCTAGCATTTTCTGCATTGCTTGGTACATAATGGGCACTAAAAGAGTATTTTTTGAGTGAGTGATTCTAAGAGGCAGTGTCGTATGATGGCAAAATAGACTTAAAATTTGAACAATCACAGTTCCAAGCTTAATATAACCAGTTGCCAACTGGTAAGAAATTATTTCATATCTATTTTCCTGAACCTCAATTTTCTTGACCTTAATATGAGGATAATAATACTTTGTTGAGTTGTTTTGAGAATTAGAAGAGATTAAAAAAAATGTCCTCACAGAGAAGTCACTCAATAAGTGGGAGGTATTTTATCATTATTCTGAAAAAGTTGCCTATAGAATGAAAGGTTCTACTGTCCTTGCTCTTAAAGTAATTGGATATTAGATATGGAAGTTTTTAAAGCCCCATAAATTATTTTAAAAATATTATATAATTCTGTAATTTACTGAAATGTATTATCATTTTAGAATATTCAGTTTTATTGACAAATACTATTTCCACTTATTTAAGTTGTAACTTAACTGACAGTTTTTAAATATAGCTACATCAGATATAAATATAAAGAGAATGTACACTATTATGAAAGCCTTGAGTATGTTAAAATGTGAAATAGATACATTTTCAAGTCCTGATCAAATCTGAAGAGTTTCTGTAATTGAATATATGAATTTGTGTATAATCACTTTGAAAATATTTGAGTACATAAGTAGACCTCTTCATTGACTACCTTTTGAAACTTATAATGACAAACTTTTGTTTTGTTTGTGAATCTGTGATTTCTGGAAACTATGTACTGTAAAGCAGAGCGTTCCAGTAGACCTCCTTACTAACCACTTGCAGAAATGGGCAATTTTTCAAGCCAAATTTATATTTCAGTAAGGAACTTGGAATTAATTATGTTACTACATGGTTACTTCCCTACTTGAGAGAGGTATTTACTGAGGTTACTGGCTTCTAGTCTTCTTCCCTTTACTCTTTCCACCTGTCTCCTGTTCTTATTGGGGTGGGAGGAGAGGAGGAATGAGTAATCAGATCTTTTATCATAGGTCCACCAAGATTTATTAAGATATTTCATTGTATGGGCAGCTCCGGTGGCGCAGCAGTTTGGCGCCGCCTGCAGCCCAGGGCGTGATCCTGGAGACCCGGGATCAAGTCCCACGTCGGGCTTCCTACCTGGAGCCTGCTTCTCCCTCTGCCTGTGTCTCTGCCTCTCTCTCATTCCCTCTCTCCCTCTCTCTCTCTCTCTGTGTGTGTCTCTCTTGAATAAATAAAATCTTTAAAAAAATATTTCACTGTCAGAACATTTACTGGTTGTATCTATGTGGCCAAATTGCTCTACTACTTGGAACCATTGCCACTGACCATTTTTGTTTGACTAAGATGAATTTATGAAATTTAGTTATCTGGATGAACTGAATTTGATCTGAAATTCAATAGAAGATTTGATTGATATTCTGTATTAGGAAGAATTTTCCATATGTAAGCATCCTTTCTTAGAACTCTTTAGAGTGTTCTAATGCCCTAACATCCTAATGGGGAACCTTAATCTGTATTTAATAAACAACCCCCTCTCTAATCTTAATCACTATGCAAACTATATACCAAATTTCCTTGCTATAACTTGAATTTGACTGTCTTTCTGTCTACTTAGGATGACTTCTACCTTTGAATGTATAGCCCAGTTAACACAACATGCTAGTTCCTTAGTTCCTGGACTGCTGTGTCTCCTGTGAATTTTATTTTCACACTAGTTCAGCCATGCACTCCTATGGTCCCACTTTATACCTTCTCATCTCTATCAGTTACTCTACCTCTAGACTCACTAATCATGGTGTCCCTGTGCTTTGAAACTTGAATATAACAAATAGTTATATTTGAGTGCTAAGGGCCAGGCACTGCTCTAGGTGCATGGAATATACCAGGAAACAAAACAGAGAAGAATCTTTGTCCTTTTGGAGCTTTTACTCTAGTGGGGAAAGACAAAAATCACAGTAGAAAACTAAATTATGTAGTGTTTTTGCAAGGTAGTAAGTGCTGTCAAGAAAGATAACGTAGAGTAAGGACGAGATAGTAAGGAATTGCAATTATTGTTTGTTTTTTGTTTTTAAAATTTTAAGCTTTTATTCTGAAGTAGTTTAGGACATACAGAAAGTCACGAGAATAGTGCCAAAAACTCCCATATGCCCTTGACCCAGAATCACATATTGTTAACATTTTGCCACATTTGCTTTAAAATATTTTCCCTCAAAAAAATAAAATAAAATATTTTCCCTCAAATATATGTAAGACTTCATGAATTTGTGGGTCATCCATGCACATAGACCATGCTAATCTCTGTATTGTTCCAATTTCAGTATATGTGCTGCTGAAGCAAGCACAAAAGTTGAAATTCTAAATAAGATAGTCAGGTTTTCATTGAAAATTTGACATTTCAGAAAAGACTCTTGAAGGAATCAAGAGAAATAGCTATATAGATAATTATGGGAAGAGTAGTATAAGCAGGTGCCCTGCTAGTGCAGAGTCCAAAACAGGAATATGTAAGGACATCATTGTGATAGAGAAGAAAAAGTGAGGTGGGATGGTAATTGAAGTGGGAGCAGATTGTAGAAGGGCTTATAAACCACTGATAGAGCTTTTATCTGAGTAAAACTGAGAACCACTGAGAAGTTCTGAGGAATGTTATGATCAGACTTTTTCAAAATATCTCACTGACTGCTACATTGAGAGGAGAATATAGAGAGGGAGGTGGGAGATGGGATATCAAATACTTGGCAGAAATTCAGACTAGAAATGATAGTGGCTCAATTCAGGCGAGTGGATTTGGAAGTGGTAGGGAATGGTGGGATTTGGGGTATATTTTGAATATAAGGGGAGTTGCTAATGGACTGGACATGCAGGATGAGGGACACTGAGAGTAGTCAAGGAATTGATATGAACAACTGGAAAGATGCAACGGGGAAGTTTGTGGATGGACTAGGGTTTGAGAAAAAGATCTAGAATTCAGTTTTCGTTGTGTTAAATTTGAGATGCCCATTAGACTGCTAGGTCTGATGGTAGTTACATGTTTAGTTATTTAAGAAATACTCAAACCATTTTTCCCAGCGATTGTATACCCTGGGATACAATTACCCTTGTATACCCTGGGAAACTTGTATAACATGTTTAGTTATTTAAGAAATACTCAAACCATTTTTTCACAGGGATTGTATACCCCATTTTCCTAGGAGCTTACATCAAAACAGGATTTGTTTGTTTGTTTTAAAGATTTTATTTATTTGAGACAGAGAGCAAAAGAGCACACAAATGGGGGGGGGGGCATAGAGTCAAGCTGACACCTTGCCAAGTGGGGAGCTGGATGCGGAGTTCAATCCCAGGGCCCAGAGATCATGACCTGAGCAGAAGGCAGATGCTTAATCAACTGGACTTAACCCCAGGTGTCCTTGTTTGTTTCATTTTTTTGTTTGGGTTTTAATTCTTTGGGATGAAGATTTACTTCTTTTTAGGCTTTGTAGCCATACCATCTTACATTTGAATCTTGACTTTCTCACCTACTGTGTCATAGTTTCCTCATTAGTAAAGAAGAATTAGTACTTGTATCATAGAGTTCTTAGGAAGATTGAGACAGTTTATGTTCAAGTTCTAGGCACAAAGAGGACACTATTATATGATAGACACTCAAAAAATACTTGTTCCTTCCTCACCTTCAGAACTAATACCTGGACCTGTTTTTGGTGATGTTCTTGTTTCAGTGACATGTCACATCATCTCAAGAGTTTGTTTATATTATAATCAGTTCCAGTCTATTAACAGGGTTGTCACTTCTTTATGTCTTATTTAATTTTACTAAAAAAACTCTTACAATTTTTCTGTTTACAAGTCTTGCACTTCTTTTTATTAGATTTATTTCTAAGATTGAATTTTTTGATGCTCTTGAGAATAGTTTAGTTTAAAATTTTATTTTCTGCTTTTTGCCTGTATAGAGGAACACAGTTGATTCTGTATATTGATTATGTATTCATTAACCATACTAAATTTGCTTATAAACCTGCTGTTTTTTTTTTAATTTTTAGTTTATTTATGATAGTTACAGAGAGAGAGAGAGAGAGAGAGAGAGAGAGAGAGAGAGAGAGGCAGAGACATAGGCAGAGGGAGAAGCCGGCTCCATGCGCCGGGAGCCTGACATGGGATTCGATCCCGGGTCTCCAGGATCGCGCCCTGGGCCAAAGGCAGGCGCTAAACCGCTGCGCCACCCAGGGATCCCAAACCTGCTGGTTACATAGAAATGATTTTTGTTCTGTGTATATAATCCTGCTATGTCATTTGTTATATTTTAATTTTTTAATTTTTAATGGAAGTATAGTTGACGCATAATGTCATGTTGGTTTTGAACATACGGTAAAATGATTTGACAAGTCCATACATTATGCTATGCTCATCACAAGTGTAGCTGCCATCTGTCATCATGCAACTTTAATTATAATACTATTGACTGTATTCCTTATGCTGTACATTTTATCCCTGTGACTTATTTGTTCTCTAACTAGAAACTTGTTTTTCCCACTCTCCTTCACCCATTTTGCCTCTGCCTTCCCCTTCTCACCCTATACCCCCTACCGTATCCATTGGTTTGTTCTATTTATGGATCTGCTTCTGCTTTTTGTTTGGTTTCATTGTTTTTTCATTTGTTTTGTTTTTTTAGATTCCACAAACAAGTGAAATCATATGGTATTTTTCTTTGACTTATTTCACCTAGTGTAATACTTTCTTGGTTCACCATGTTGTTGCAAAGGCAAGATCTTACCCTTTTATGACTAAGTAATATTCCATTGTATATATCCCCCGACTTATTTATTCATTCATCTATTGATGAACACTTTGGGTATAAATGGACTTGTTTTTTAATTTTCTTTCTGCTACTTTGTTAGTAGTGTATAGAAATACAACTGATGTATATATGTTAATTTTTATCCTTTAAGTTTACTGAATTCATTGTATTACTTTTAATAGTTTTATGTGGAGTCTTTAGAGTATTCTTTCTTTAAAGATTTTTCTTCTTGAGAGAGAGAGCATGAGTGGGATGAGGGGCAGAGGGAGAGGGTCAAGCAGAGTTCCTGCTGAGTGCAGAGCCCAACCCACCCAGGTCTCGATCCCAGGACTCTGATATCATGACCTGAGCCAAAGCCAGACACTTAACTACCAAGCTATCTAGGTGCTCCTGGAGTCTTTAGAGTTTTCTGTATGTGGTATCAGGTCATCTATACATAGTGACAGGTTAACTTCTTTCTTAGTAATTTGAATACATTTTATTTCTTTTTCTTCTCTGATTGCTGTGGCTAGAATTTCCAATATTATGTTGAATAAAAGTGGTAAGAGTAGACATGCTTGTCTTGTTCCTGATTAGTTTTTCACCATTGAGTATGATGTTATCTATGGATTTTCCATATGTGGCATTTATAATGTTTGGGTATGTTCCCTATAAGCCTAATTTGAGAGTTTTTATCATGAACAGATGTTGAATTTTGTGAAATGCTTTTTCTGCATCTATTGAGATGATCAGATGATTTTTATCCTTAATTTTGTTGATTGTGGCATTTTACACTAACTTGCTAATATTGAACTATTACTATATCCCTGGAATAAATCTCACTTGATTGTGCTGATTGATCCTTTTAATATATTGTTGAATGTAGCTTGCTAATATTTTGTTGAGGATTTTTGCACCTGTGTTCAGGGATATAGTAGTTTTCTTTTTTTAGTAGTGTCTTTGTCTAGTATCAGGGTAATGCTGACCTCATAAAATGGATTTGGAAGGTTTTTTTTCTGTTTAATTTTTAGACCAGTTTGAGGAGAATAAGTCTTCATTTTCCTTTAAATGTTTGGTAAAATTTGCCCATGAAGCTGGACTTTTGTTTGTTGGGAGCTTTTTGATTACCAATTTCATCTTCTTAATATTGAAACTAGTCTGTTCAGATTTTCTATTTCTTCCTGATTCAGTTTAGGGAGATTGTATATCTAGGAATTTATCCATTTCTTCTAGGTTGTCCACTTTGTTGACATATAATTTTTTTTATTTATTTATGATAGTCACAGAGAGAGAGAGAGAGAGAGAGGCGCAGAGACACAGGCAGAGGGAGTAGCAGGCTCCATGCACCGGGAGCCCGACGTGGGATTCGATCCCGAGTCTCCAGGATCGCGCCCCGGGCCAAGGCAGGAGCCAAACCGCTGTGCCACCCAGGGATCCCTAATTTTTTATTCTTTGTATTTAAGTCTTTGTATTTCTAAAACAATAATAATAATAATAATAATAATAATAATAATAATAATTCTTTGTATTTCTGTAGTGTTGAATGTTACTTCTCTTTCATTTCTAATTTTATTTTTCTCCAATTTGATTTTGTTTTTTGGTGAATCTGGCTAAAGGTTTATCAATTTTGTTTATCTTTTCTAAGAATCAGCTCTTAGTTTCACATATACATGAATATATATATTTATGTATATATATGAAAAAATACATATAAGAAAAAATATATTTTGCTCTGAAAAAATATATATAAAAATATATATTTTTGCTCTTAGTTTCATTGATTTTAAAAAAAAAATTTTTTTTTTTTTATTTATGATAGGCACACAGTGAGAGAGAGAGAGAGAGGCAGAGACACAGGCAGAGGGAGAAGCAGGCTCCATGCACCGGGAGCCCGACGTGGGATTCGATCCCGGGTCTCCAGGATCGCGCCCTGGGCCAAAGGCAGGCGCTAAACTGCTGCGCCACCCAGGGATCCCCTCATTGATTTTTTTAATTTGTTTTTAGTGTATGTTTCATTTGTTTTTATTCTGATCTTTATTAATTCCTTTCTCCTACTAACTTTGTTAGCTCTTCTTTTCCTAGTTCATTTAGTTTGTAACGTTAGATTGTTTATTTGAGATTTGTTTTGTTTCTTAAGGTAGGCCTGTATCACTAAAAATTTCCCTTCTGGAACTGTTTTTGCTGTATCCCAAAGATTTTGGACCATTGTGTTTTTATTTTCACTTATCTCCATGTATTTTTCAGTTTCCTCTTTGATTTCTTTGGTGACTTATTGGCATATCTTAGCTCCCAGTTTTGTGTTTTTTCCAGTTTTTTCTTCTGATTGATTTCTAATTTCATACTGTTATGGTCAGATTTCAGTGTTCTTAAATTTCTTGAGACTTGTTTTGTGGCCTTAGATGGGATCTATCCTGGAGAATGTTCCTTGTGCACTTGAAAAAAAATGTCTATTTTGCTGTTTTGCGCTCAGATACTCAGTACATATCTGTTAAGTCCTTCTGATCTGATGTGTCATTCAAAGATGGTGTTTTCTTGTTGGTTTTCTGCTTGGATGAACTATCCATTGATGTAACT